CTGGGGAGCCGCGGCGCGAGCCCAGCCTGCTTTGGGCACTGGCAGGCGGGATGGCGAGCGAGTCCTTGGGCTGCCGTCCAAGTGACTTGGGCAGCTCCTCCTCTTCAGCGCCTTCCTCTTTGTTCCCTCCTCTGTTGCAGTGAAGCCAGGCTACGGGTTCCTTTTTTTTTAAATTTTTAATTAAATATTTTATTTTTTCCCTCCTCTCTCAAAGGTTTTCTCTCCCCTCTCCTCCTCTCTCCTTCCCTTCTCTCTTGCCCCAGGCTACGCACCGGTGACGGGGATGTGCCACCCGCTCCGCAGCTGCACCCTCAACCACGAAGACGGCTTCTCCTCGGCGTTCGTCGTCGCCCACGAGACTGGCCACGTGTAAGTCGCAGGGACAGAGCTGGCCGTCCCCTTCGGCGGGGGCGGGACGAGCGTGGCGATGCCCCTTTCTTTGCAAAAGGCACTTCCTGCTGGCGCAGGCGTGCCCGCCACCGCGGCACGCAACAGGATGATGTAAATCCCCTGGGAACCCGACTTTACGCCCGTTTTCCTCACCAGTTTGGGCATGGAGCACGACGGCCAGGGCAACCGCTGCGCCGATGAGACCAGTATGGGGAGCATCATGGCACCGCTGGTCCAGGCCGCCTTCCACCGCTACCACTGGTCCCGCTGCAGCAAGCAGGAGCTCAACCGCTACATCCAGTAGGTTATTTAAACCGGGAAGGGATGTTCTCCCTTTGGATGGTGTAACCATGTGTGTTCTGTACCCAGCAGCTCCCACGTGAAGCAGGCTGTAGACAGGTCCCTGCAGGGACAGCGTGTTTCAGCCAGAATAGCAAAAGTGGGTCCTGGTCCCTTTTTCTTCTGCTGACAGCTTTGGTTCTTCGCACGAGTCTGAGTTGGTTTTGGGCTGCAGAAGTTGGAGACAAACAGGAGCCTGATAAAAGCTGGAGATGTCAACAGAGCGCACTAGTTTGCAGATCTCTGCTGGTGGAGCTCAGCTTCGCATGTCCAATGTTTTTTGCCCTTTGCTTTGGGCAGGCTGTGTGGTTTATCCTTTAGCCTACAAAATGTTGTGTGTTGAATAAAAAAAAAAAATCCCGAAAGTTGTAAAATAGGCCAGCAGCTTTCTGTGTATCAGGGCGAAGGCGAGTGGCAAGAAAGCAGGTGGCAGTGGTGGTACCCACAAGTGCCAAGGTCCCCTTGGGAACTGCAGGCAGGGGAGGGATGCTTGTTTTTTAGGGCAATACCATGCAGTTGGGGTTTTTTTGCCGGAAACCTGTTTTCCAGCGGTGGGTAGTTAGTGTCAGCCCCAAGAGAATTCAGATTTCTCCTGAATTCACCTGGGGAGAGGGCTGGAGGTGAGGGAAGGGGCAAAGCTAGGAAATTCTCTGTGTGTGACTCCACTTTTGCCTTTTCCCTGCATCTGCAGCTCCTACGACTGCCTGCTGGATGACCCCTTTGAGCACCAGTGGCCCACGTTACCCGAGCTGCCGGGCATTAACTACTCCATGGACGAGCAGTGCCGCTTCGACTTCGGCGTGGGCTACAAAACGTGCACGGCGGTGAGTACGGAGCCCGTACAGGTTGCACGCCCACATTGCCCCCCCTGCCTCAGCACCCCCAGCCAGGCACTGTGGGGCCGAGGAGGCACCTCCCTGCTGCCGTCCCAGCCCAGCTCCTCTGTGCTCCCCAGTTCCGCACCTTTGACCCCTGCAAGCAGCTGTGGTGCAGCCACCCGGACAACCCCTACTTCTGCAAGACCAAGAAGGGGCCGCCCTTGGATGGGACTGAGTGCTCTCCGGGCAAGGTAGGGGCTAGCGCTGCTTTGGGAGGGGATGGGGACACCCTCGAGGGGAGCAGGTAGTGGGTGCCTGGTTTTTAGCTGGTGTTACTCCTTATTTTCCCCAGTTTGTGCTCAGATGAGGACTTCTGCAGAGAAGCCGGACTCAAA